CGAACTATTTGAACGGCACGTATGCCACCTGGAGCATTCTTAGAACGGTTCCTCAGGACGCTTCCACAGAAAGGGCGAAGTCATTGTTCCGTACAAGCCAGTAGCGCCACCGTATATGGACGGTTTCAGAACGGCAATTGCTATCCTCGACGGACTTCCGGGGAGGTGATTCTACCATCATCACCGGCCAAGGTAAAATAACAATACCATTTTCACCGCCAGGCTGACATAGCACTCATTATCAGTAACGCTGACATTCAATGACTACGAACGGTAGATATATCCACGGACTCGAAACGGCATTTACCGGTCGGGGTCTCTGAACACACGCCTACCCCCATCCACATAAACTCGCAACCAACTGCGTCCCCCCTGACCCACCCCCACTGCATTCTCCTCCGTGTTATCCGTAAGATAGGGCACGATGGCACCATATTGAGCCATCCATCGCTCATCCTTCCGCGCCCCCCAATCCCCCCGCAATGCATTTTCTGTGTGCTATCCGCAAGTAACAGAAGGGCACAATAGGTTACCACCATGAGCTATCCATCGCTTATCCCTTTTTTGTTGCGATGCATACAGTAGACCCACCTTGATTCCGTCCTTGGCTTCCTCCGAAGCTTTCTCGAGAAAGGCGCACTTCTTAGGGGTGCCGAGCACGTACAGAGTTCCATCCTTCGCCAAGAGCTGCAGAAACAAACGTTGGCCATAGAAACAGAACGCGGAGTGGGATTTTATAGTGCCGGGGAGCGATAATTAGTGTCAGCGGCGTTGGTAGCGGTGGTGGTTGTGGTTTTGGCGTGTGCGGAATTCTGAGACCATCATGGACAAGTCCACGTAGCAAAACTCTTGCTAGCTTGTCAAGGTGTAGACAGATAAAAGCATCCGGCGTTGCTTGCGAGACAGCCTTAAGCAAAAGATCAAGGCAAGGAACCTCATGAGTGCGCTTGTTCAAAAATGCCACGGCTACAAGCCAGGGACAACCAAAATAAAGCTCATTGCGCAGAGCTGCCAGTACCACTTGTTTGTTTGCGTTAGGACAGGACAGGGGAACACGAGGGAGGGAAAACACCGCAGCGACAAGCTGTACGGACGCATGACCTCGACAGTATACCGGCAATGACAGTCATTTCATGAAAAATGGGTCCAGCAACACAAAAAACAAAGTTCGTCTGCGAGCAGCGGCCCGTACGCTTCCCTTCTTCCCTTCCGCACACGTCGCAAATGGAAAAATTTCTTCCAACGCTCGTAGCCCGAATCCATGCAAAAACTGCTTGCGTACAGCAGCAGCAGGCATCGAACTACCCGCACCCCTTCCCGCCCGCCCCAACACATGAAAACCGTACTAATAGCATGTGTCGCCAATGGCCCAAGCAAACATTGCAAGACAACCAACGCCCCCTCATAACGCAGAGTTCCTCCCATTCCAGAGCATGACGCAGAGGAGAGCGAGCAGGCCCAGTCGTCCTCTCTCTCACCATCACGGTGTCGGGCAGCTCCCACGCCATGAGGTGCAGCTGCAGCGCGATGGACTTCTTGTACGTGTCGTCCTCGTTCTGAGCACCCGACATGATGCACAGGGCTGAGGCGCCGCCCCACATCGGAAGGCTCGCCGCTGCCCACCCACGCCACGTGCAGTTATGGTCGTTGGACGATTCCCGTCATGCCCACCAGGAAAAGAGGGTGACAAACGGAGTGGATGTGGAAAATTCCATAAGTTCGTGCCGACGGACTGAGTCGAATCACAGAATATTCCTGAGAACCGTTCTAGGAAAGCGTGCCCGTTCTAGAAAACGTTCTTGCGAACCGTTGCGGAACTTACCGCATCCATCAGCATGTATTGCTCTATTGTATGCATAGCCATAGCCGTACATAAGATACAGTCCTCAAGTTGAAGTTACTGAAAAATCGTACTTAGTATGAATGCCGAGTTTAGTGTAACCACCTGCCCTCGCCTCATCGCCCACATTTTTCGTGCTCTTGATCCAGTTTGGTTCGGGGGTCTTTTGTACACCGGTAGGACTTAAGTGTGGATACAAGCAGTAAAACCTACTATTTTACAGGTATATCATTTACTGTATAGGCTCTAGTGTCGCATTCTAAAACCATGGTATCACATTTGGTGCGGATAAACTAAACCTATGCTAAATTCTTGATTGTAAAGGCTTCACTCCGAGTATTTAGAATCGAAGTCCAAATAAATCCCTACCATAATAAAGAGAGGTCTACGTACCTGCTTTAATATATCGGTTGAGGAAGTGGTCCTAGCCTAACCGATCTCAACTCTGACAGGCCTAGGAATCACCCAGCAATCGTTAATCACACACGAAACGCGTGAGACCAGTCGCGAAGCGTTGCGCAGCAAGAATCCTTGAGTTGTCACACAGAGCGGCGGTTGGGGCTTGTCTCCAACAGCATATCACCTAGTCTACCTCCACAAACCTTCTCTCAAACCAAGACAAGCATTCCACTAGTCAAATTTCAAGACATAATAGGCGATGCCGCTGCTGCTGAAACGATCTAGGCGTGCATGCCGCTTGCTCCATGATGTCCTCTACTGGAATACTTGCTCAGGCCAGGACTCCGCAACGCAGTCACCATAATTGAGCACTGTGGAAGCAGCCGCGTCGCCTTTTTCGTCTTGAATTTAGACTGGTGGAAGTTTTGTCTTGGTTTGAGAGGACATGTGTGGAGGTACCTAGCCTGCCGGGTACGATCAAGGCTGTAGCAGCGGTCCGAAAAAAAAAGAGTCCGCGATCCACTGCTGTACGTGCCGGTGCAGATCCCCGAAGATGCTGTGCCGCACTTTGGAATATACGCACTGCTCACACCGCACGCACGCCGGAGCCATTACTTTTTGTGCTTCTATTACGTACTTCATTGGATTTAGACTTTTCCGATCCTTCGGTTGGTGGGCCTGAACTGTTTTTTTCTAACTCTTTTTTTCTTGGTTCTCGTGGCGCTTCAGAGTTCCGCGCAAAACAGTCGTTTTTGCCGAGCCGACCAAAACAGCACCTGCAGCACCCACTGCAAACAGCCCGCCCAAGGCAAGTAGAGGGACCTGTGTAGGTGGCTATGTTCGAGTCTCTGAAACGATCTTGGTATTGGGCAATCTCCAGACCCTCACGAGGATATTGAAAAAAAACGTTCGGAAAAAATCGAATTCTTCATAGCGCCACACAGCTTTTTTCTCCAAACCGGCTTATCATCCGTATTTCACCAAGAATACCCCGGGGACGACAACATGCTAACTCCGGGTCGATTTTTTTTTTTCTCAGTCGTATTACTTAACACTCGTGGGTAACTCCTGAGCAGCCTCATGGTCACATGGTCTATATTGGCCGTGTAAGTGAGCATTTTCAAAATGAGCTTATCTGGTGGAATTTGCAAAATGAACTTTTATGATGCAACAGAGCGAGTACAATTGAAGCACATGTAGGTCTCTACTTAAACGACATTAAAACCTGTTCAAATAACTCTCCTCTCCCGGATTGATGTTTCTCCCAGTTTGCGGCAGGGCATCAAACATCCCGCTCCTTGTGGCCCTCTTGATTTCGGAGTGTACCATTCAAATCATGTATCAAACACGAGACGTACGTGAGGGGCGTTGTAGCTCTCGGTCGAACTTGTGACCCACATGCTTCGCTACGTGCAGATTGCCTAGAACTAGTGTACGCGTGCACCGCGCGATGGAGAGAAATTAGAAGCAAAAGCTAAATCTTTGAACACCGGACACCCAGGGCAGCCTGTTGAGCTCATTGACAAAGGATCACAGGGCGTTGTGATGATGGCTTTCCGCGCCGTGAGTTCGGTCAAGCGTCTTGCGACGGACGGACGACCAAAACGAATTCAAAAGCGTCGAGGGAGTGAGACCAAAGTACCGTGAAATAGCCAAGTTTTCTTCCTCGTTGAACTATCATCGCCGTCTTGAGGGTGCGCCGCGCTCTCTCTCTACTAAGCAAGATCACGACGACGTGAGGAAGGTGGGCAACGAACAGACCCTCCCCTCTTCTCCCCCCCCCCCCCCCCCCCCCCCCCCCCCCCCCCCCCCCCCCCCCCCCCCCCCCCCCCCCCCCCC